AAAACTGGGAGGAAGATGTAATGAAGCTCGTTCATAGCGTTGACAGATTTTGTTCTGATGCAATGATGGAAGAAGGATTCAAATCCTTTACGGAAAGCTGCAATCATCAATGTTCTTCTGTAACCAATGGATCAAATGACTGCATCCAATGTGAAAGGTGTCAGTTGTAGGGAGAATTACCACCCGAGTCTTTAGCTACCCAACTCTGCTTTCCTCAGTTTCATTTTCAGCTGCAGCAGGCAGCTGTTTTCAGCAGAAAAAACAGAAGCTCTGATTAACTAAATCTGTACCTGCTCAGCAGGCAAAGGTAGTGATTAGCAGATTAAAAAAGTCAAACAACCAGCAAGCTAGAGACAAACACTTCCCTCGAGAGTTGGTGGAAACTAAAACATTGCTAAAAGTAAGGTGAATATTGGATTTGTATTTATCGTGTGGCCAGAGATACATCAAATACAAATATGTCTGATGGATTTGTAAAATTATAAGGCAATTATTTGATAAAACATTTGCCATAACAACTTTTTAAGATGATAATAGGTCAGATATTGTTTATTCAGGTGGTGTTGCTGCCCCCAAGTGGCAAAATATCTAATAATACAGGTTTAAGTAAAAATAGTGTCTAACCAAGTCTCGCTCAAGGTTCTGAATTCTCACGAGTTGTTGCAAGAAGAGAGTAATAAACAGACTGGATCAAGCAAAAAGAAAATAGAAATGTTTTATATCCCTGTAGGGTCCAATTTTGGGCCTGTTAGTGGCAAAAACAAGCAAATTAATGGTGCTCTGTTGCCCAGAGTGGTTACATTGCAGCCTGTTCCCTGGCTGCCAGCTGCAGCCTTCTTGCTCAATACTGGACCAAAAATTGTTGTTCCCATTAGTCACTTAGACACAAAAACATGGGAAAACAGGGTCTATTTTGAAAAATACCTAGTTTCCTTCTAAGTGTTCTACTTGAAATGTACACTTTCTGACGGAATATATAAAAGCTATACTTGACATCTGACAAACCTTAGAAGAAGTAAATGTTCGAATTGAAAAACTAGAGGAGTTTGGGATTTTAAGATCTCCTGTCATAAGTAATACACAGACATGTGCACAACACACTCAGATTGTAGCTTTTAGAGGTTTTATTCCCTGGAAGCGGATCAGACTACATCATGCTCTAAATGTCCAACTCGGTTAAAACATTGCGATACATTGGAAGCCATAAGACTGAGGAAGTTTACTCTGCATGAGTGCCATCCCTCAGTGCTGGTGTAGGCTCCTGCTGAAGTCTGCATATCCTGCTCGCCGCCTTGTTAACCCAGAATACCCTAATGACTTCCCCTTTCTCGCTGCCGAGCCACACTGTGAAGTCATCCATGTTTCCATGTAGCCTAAAGTGAGGAGAGGAGAGGAAACTAAAGGATGGAAGACAACTGGTACCACTAATGAGGTGTGCTCTGATGGCATAAATCCTCCTTAAAATAAGTAGCATCTGAGTGGCTCTATGTACCAATGAACATACATTATGCTCATAACCATGTATAGGAGCAACTCCCGCCTCACTCAGCTGTAATGTTTCTCCATTTTTCTACTCTAAGCTTTAATATTTCTCCTGACTCCACTTAAAGTGCGGAAAAATAGTCAAATAACTGATTAGGCTCATTTATTGCCTTTCCTTTGAGGGAAATTGAAAAAAGGAGACAGAGAAGGCGGGAATGTAGCAGCGCGGCCTTTGCAGGCCACAGAAATGTTAGCTGGGTTTTATCGCTGTTTTACATCACTGTCAGCTCGTGAACATTGTTGTTGCAGAAACCTCACATACTGTTTGGATGATTCAGGGTGTAGGAGCTAAGAACTAAAAACTGGAAATTGGATATCAATATGTAAGGACAGTATACTTTCACAAAAAAAGTTGAATTCATTCTGTATCAGTGTGTTATCCTTCTAGTGGTAGCACCGACACACAACAAGTCTGTTTCTCTATTTTTATATTCTTATCCTGTTATTTTGAAATTGTACATACAGTCTATGTTCTTGATGTTGTGGATGTTTGGAGCTCTCAGTAATGCAATTGGATGTCGCCACCTTGTGGTTGAATAAGACCATCTCTAACACAATTTTTCATGTACTTGATTCATGCATGACACAAATGTAAGCAAGCTTGCTTACACACGAATGCTCACATGTATGAAGACATGAGGCATGTGCATTAAAAAGGCACAAATGCAAGAGAAATACACAAACATGCACTTGCATGACAGGACTCACTGATACGCAGCAGACATTTAGACTTTTCATAGCATGAAAGCATAGGTGTTTTTAATAACATTAACAGTGTCTTCATTGTATTTAAATGTCCCAGTCACTGCTGACAGCGTGACAGTGAGCTGGCATGCACAACCCCAGAACCCTGAAACTGAAGCAGCTAAATGGAATTCAGCCATCATTAATTTTATTATTAATACTTGGCTCGGCTTTTTCTACTGTGACACATCGAATGTCCTCAGTTTAAAAGGCCCGTGAAAGCATAACACACACACACATACATGTGCGGCCATGCATGCAGTAAAAGCCAAGCATTTCCTTGAAGGATTGGAAATGCCTATCTCACAGGGATTCTAGAAATAACACCCTATACTAGTGTGACATGCATGTGTCACATGTCGACATTATAGATATAGATAGAGAGAAGGGTTATAATATGCAGGAGTACAACACAGTGAATAATGTGTATTGTGAGAAACAGAGAACTTAACAGCTTTAAATGAGATTCTGAGTAGATGGTTATCTGTCATGTTTCTGTGTATTACCTGTTATTAAACTAATACCCAGCTTGCACCAATTCCCCTCTACTATGTAAACAACGTATTTATTTATTTGTCTTGGAATTAGCTCATATAATAAAACTCAAATGCAAGAGCCAGGTTTTAGGTGTGTTGGTGAAGATTCTCAGTCATCCAGGACATGGTAACCTTAAATGCTATATCGTAGGCAACTGGACTTGCTTGAGTTTCTTGAAGACGTTTCACCTCTCATCCAAGAGGCTTCTTCATTTCTAATGGATTGGTGCAAAGTTGCAGGCTTTAAATTCTGTGTGGGTATGAACCCTTTCAGAGTCCTAAGGTCACATGTTAGTGTGTCATCAGGGTTAGATGGATTAAGGTGTGAATGGGTGTTAAGTTGTCTGGGGAGGGATCCTTGCACTGCATTGTGATAAGTGGTGTCGTAGTTTCCAGGTAGGTTATTATATACCTAATTAAAAAAACGACAATACCGTTTCCTGATTCAGTTTCATCATAATAATAGAATAGATATACCTGTGAGTACTCTGTTACCCAAAGAGTTTGTTTGTGGCAGCAGTGATGTATTTTTAAACATGAAAATGAAACTTGGATTTACACTATTTGTTTTAATTTTGGAATTTAGTCATTCATCACTTGTAAAGCAAATAGATACTTATTAAAGGGTTCAGTTTTCATTATACTCTAAACAATATAAATGCAACATTTGGTTTTGCTCACATTTATATTAATTGAAATAAAAGATCTAACATTTTTTCTTTGCACATAAAAGGCTTAGTCAAATATTGTTTGAGAGGACTAAGCCTTCTCAAATAAGCTTAAATCCCTGTTAGTAAGCACTTTGCCAATACAATCCATAATCCATCCACCTGACAGGTGTGGCCTATCAGGATGCTCATTAACAGCCTCATTAGTAATACTCCTCAGGTGTGCCTTGTGATGGTCACTGCTCTAAAATGTGCAGTTTGATCACACATCACAGTGCAACAGAGGTTGCAGATTTTTAGGGAGCAGTGCCCTGATTGCTTAATGTTCACCAGATTGTTGCCCATAAACCTAATGTTCATTTCATTACCATAAGCCAACTCTGATGTTGTTTAACAGAATATGGCAGTATGTACATTTGGCTACACATTCGCAGACCATTTGTAACAACACCAAATCAAGACCTCCACATTCAGCATCTTCACCAGCAAGACCATCTGAGACCAGCCACCCGCACAGCTGATGCAACAGTTGGTTTGCACAGCTGAAGAATTTCTGCACAAACACTTGCACAGTCTTCCAGGTGAAGACGCTGGAGGTGGAGGTCCTAGGGTGGCCCACTTGACCAATTGGATGTACTGCCAGATTCTTGGAAAATACATTGGACACGGCTTATGGTAGTGAAATGAACATTCAGTTCACGGACAACAGCTGTGGTGGACATTCCTGCTATCAGTCTGCATGCCACTGGCACTGCTCCCTCAAAACATCTATGGCATTGTGTTGTGTGTGCAAACTGCACATTTTAGGGTGGGCTTTTATTGTGACCATCCAAAGGCACACCTGTGTTGTGATCATGTTGTGTTTAATCAGCATTTTGATATGCAACACCTGTTGGTGGATGGATTATATTGCAAAGTGCTCACTGAGAAGAATTTAAACAAATTTGGGGACAAAATTTGAGAGAATTTAGCCTTTTGAGTGCACAGAAAAAGTCCTAAATATCCTAAATCAAAACTAAAAGTTTTGCTTTTACATTTTTGTTCAGTTGCATCTGTTTTCTGCAGAGAAAGGACTCCCACTTTTGATACAGTATTTTAAGTACATTTTGCTGGAAATACTTGTGCACTTTTGCTTAAGTTGGCTTTTTAATGCTCGAGTTAAACTTGCAATGAAGTATTTTAAGCTTGTTATGTTGGTATGTTTACTTTGGTAAAGAATGTGAGGACTTATTGTCAACAACATGGCAGTTATAAATCATTAACCCACCTGACAAGGCCATACAAACAGGGTCAGACTGTATGTTTTGCTGTGGCGCCCTCTTGTGGTTCAACGCTGCTGTTTCAACCTCTTTCCAACACTATTATCATTGGTTCAAAATGTCACCGTCGCTGTCTTAACCAATGGCACCAGTTTAATTCGTCCCTTGGGGCCTTTTTTGCATGCATGCTCCTCCCTGTTTTGTTAGCAACCACTCCTCCTCCTCCATACACACCCCCCTCCCCACACACACCAACCCCCTGTGATGCCAACCACTCCATGGCTGGGCTGGACGGCGTGTCTGTCGAGGCGGTATAATCTAAAACCAAACCGGGCTATTATTATGGAGCAGACGGGGTGTTGACGGAGATGCGACGGTGCATGATAAAGGTGATTAAATTTGCAGCTCTGCACGTTGTCTCCACATCCACTGATATTCCTCCGCCTTGTAGTTAGCTGATGGCGCTAACTCTCTCCTCTCTGTGTGCATCGGTGTATGGCTCCACTGTTGCAGGTTATCATTTCTTTTTCCTTCACAAGATCATCCCATCATGTGTGTCGTTTTGATTTCTGAAGACAGTTGGTCTGCAACGGCGGGATGAAGCATGATCGGCGATAAACGCGCAGGGGAACACGAAGAGAGAAATCTGAGTCAACATAATCCATCTGGACATCGGGGGGGAAGATGAGGACCATGATGGCTTCGATGAAAACAGCATTATTCGTTTTTCTACAATGGGGTGAGTGCAGCCAGTGCAGTGTTTGCTCTGCACACAAAACCGCCTCGCCATCTGTCACTAGGAGGCACATTTGTATGATTGTGTGCCGAGCAATCAGACTATTAATTTAAATACCATTTGTAGCCTGTAGCTTTAGTTTCATGATTTGGCCTGCTGTTATTTTCTGCCTGTGGATGCCTGTTATTTTATTACCTCATACTCAAATACAGAGGTGATTAACTCCACTATCAAACACAAAAATCACTTGCCTGCTATTTGATGAATGTGGAGATGGTTGTGTCTGAGAAACAGATGTGTTTGGTCAAAAAATTAGTTCCTGGTGGCATCCAGGAAGTCCCAAGCAAAGGTATTCCCATCAGTAGAACACAATTGAATCTACACAATGGTAAACATCATTATTGTTACATGGTGCTGATAGCAACCACACAGAAACACCAGTTTTGCCCTTTATGTTTTATTGTCAGAGCACGGTCTTAACTGCTCAGGGTGTTTCTCTTTTTGTGTTACTTCCCCAAAAGCAAATTCCCATCAGCTACAATGGCAATAATGTGTTGTATCTTGAATATTGACATTAAACCTAAGAAAGATGCCGGAAAAGGTCAGCTGCACTTAACCATAAGTGATGCTTTTTCCTTCTGAAGATGCTCTTTGCAAAGGGAAAATATGATGAGATAACCAAAGAAATGCAAAGTGCTTAGGGGTTAAAATAAGACTTTATTTTAGGGTAAGAATAAGCCACAAAACCCAGACAAGCAGAAGTGCATAAAGCTGAAATGCATGAATATGTCTGCCCATCAGGACTTCTTCTGTTTTCAACTTTTCACTTCTCATAACACTTCAGAATTAAGGAGAACTCATCAGATTGAATGAGACAGTCTTTATCTCCCTTCTCACAGTATTATTAATTATATGAATCTTATCATCTGATAACCAAATAGACAGGGCTCCTTGCATCTCTTGATAAGAAAACTGGGGCTCCCCCCGCGCTGCACAGCGTCTAATCCAGACGGTATTGAGCATGGTCACGAGCCGCGTGTCCCCCAGCCCTATCAGTCCGAGCCCAATGTTAATTAGGACTTGATCCGCTTAAGCCTTCCACTAGTCTCCCATGTCATTGTCTATGGGCGTGTTGTTATCAGGCCGTGGCGCGGCCTGTGAGAAAGCTCTAGTTGTTTTAGAGGTCTGACACACACATACACCCAGACAGGCGGGGAGTGCCAGAACACACCCATCTAGTATTTCTAGTTGATCAGGTAGTTTTATCAGTTTTAGGTGAGGGTTAAAGGGTGTGTGTGTGTGAGGTGGTGATTAGCCTTTGTTCAGTGTCAGTTTGTGGGTGTATGTTTGTTGACTGTTATGTTGGGTTACTTAGAAGATGAGTTATTCCTCAGCTTTTGGCCCCACCTGTAAACTTCAATCACTTGGTCGACAACTGTCTTTAATGATGTGCACCCTTCCTATCAAACATTATTTTACAATCAGGTAATCGAGGAGATTATCGATCTGACCTTTGGCTTAACATCCACTCTTGTCAGTAAATATGTAACGAAATCAGTCTTAACTTAAGTGAGCTATTAAGGTTTTCTAACTTCATATTGAAACAGCGAATTCTGCAAGGCCCCTATTGTAATGCAAGGAATTTTAAGTATTTATGCAAAAGAATCACAGTTTTGAGGGCTAAAGGTTCTAAAAAACATTCACAAAACTTTCCACACACATCAGAACTGGTGAAAAAATGTGATATTTTAGAGGTGTCATCATCAGTTGTTACTAAATGGCTCAGTAGCGCCCCCAACAAAACTTCAACAAAGTAGCCCCTGCAGTGCATTTCACCTAGATGCACAAAAATTGGGTGGCACATATTACATCCCAAGCAAGTTTTTGTCGAACAGTGTGGCCGTGGTGAAACATCAAATTTCTGTTTTTGCCACAAAACAGGAAGTAGTTTGTTACTCCACTACATATGGTCAAATCTGGTCTAAAGACATCTACAGGCTCATATTGAGTCACAGTCATGGCACCGTGTACTGACAACTATGGAGGTCAGCCTAATGTGACAAGCATAATGTGATTTTCATGAAATTTGCATGCTGTGGTCTACACGTGACATACAGCAACGTGACATATAATTAGTGTGTGTTCTCTTGTGCCAAATATTGGACACAGGAAGTGATACACAATTTGCGATATGTTATTTCTAGCACAACACACTCCAAGAAGTAAACTTGTTAGTCGTGCGTGCAGTGTGCGACTGTCAAGGGAATGCACAGTTGCAGCAACTGGCATCCCATCAGCACCCTGGATGTGCGGGAAGGTGCGAGGCCCGTCCATTACTGCTTGCAACCTCAGCGTTTTATTGAGTTTCAATTATCTTGCACCATGTTTTTATTTGGCATGCTGATACTCTCCTCTAATGTGACTAGTCCACAGTAAATACAGCATCTTTGTCAGGTTTCTATTTTCTGATTTTAAATTTGGGTGGAAAGAGAGCACTGCTACTTGGTATGAGCAAATACTCCTAGTTTAGCCATCTGAATCGGTATCGGGAGAGAAAAAGATGCTTGCATTCCTAGTTTTTACTGTACACAGCCTCCATGGTTTGTTGTACAGCTCCTCTTAAATTCATCTTGATTGAAATGTTCATTATTGTAATCTTAGTTGTCTTACCTTCATGCATTTGGCTTGTTTCTCAATTGGTTAAAATGACCTGGAAGAATGGTCCCGCTGATGCAAAAAAACAGTGTGAATTCAAACCATTAAAGGATAATACAAATCTCTAAAGAAATACAGTCTGTGGAGTCAGTCACAAAACATGCTTGATGACGTCTCACTCCTTCCAGCTTCCCTCTTTTAAAGGAGGAAATATTACTTTACGTAAGTCCCCTCACCATGGGAGAATAGTAATGGCATGAGAAGTTTCAGTGCCTGTGGCTGAAAGAAGGTTCAGTATTTAAATAGCCGAGCTCAGTCTGTGTCTGTAACTATTTCAGAGGGGTTCTAGGGGAAGTGATGTATGCTGCCAGACAATGAGATTCAGTGAGATACAACTACACTTCAACCTGGAAGCTTGAAACCCCCGAGGCACTCGTACTGAATATATGCATGAATATTTTACTCATAACTAGAAAATGTCCCATGTTACCAGGTTCCTCTTAAACAGTGAGGTGGATAGAGAACATTTTATTTTTCCCTCTTGGCCCGAGTGAAGTCTCTTTCACTCAGTGAGGTGTGACTTGCAATTTGGAGATATCAAATTTAGCACATTCCAACACAATGCACCCAGTGACCTTCAGCTTTTGCTACTTAGAGCACTGAAAAATTACATTTGTGCAACTCAATAACAACATCTGAATAAATATAACAACATAGCTGCTCACAGTAACACTTTGGGATATTAAAATTAGCATGAATCACCATTTTCTGACATTTTATAGAAAGATTAATGGATTATTTGTGAAAATTAATTGGCATTTTAATCAACAATTCAAAATAACTGTTATTTATAGCACTACAGTTTTAATGGCAGTGAGCTGCAGCCAGTTTAAATAAATCTTACTGAAACTGTAGCACTCTTTGTACAAACTAGTCTTATTCAGTATTTTAGTGAATCATTCCTTTAAATTACCCAAACATGCTCATATTATGAGCTAAAAAGCCCACTGAGATGATTGTAATTCATTTCTTAAATGTTTCATTGTATTCAGAGGAAGCTGGCCCAGCCCCAGCTCTAGTGTTTTTTCTCCCAAGCTATTTAAAATATTGATTCCCTGTTAGTCAGTCATCAGCTCAGAATATTGATCGGTGAGTCCATGTACCAAACATGCTGCGAGGCGAGACTGTGACCGACAGAAATTGACTGCGTTTCCGTTTCCAATCTCTCCTGCTTGTTTGTCACCGTCTTTCACACTCTTTGCTGTCTCCATTTTTCTTTCGCAGTGCTCCAGTACGCCATGTGTCGCGACATAACCCTTCCCATCGGGACCCTCTACCGTGTTGCAGGGTTCCCCCTCTCCCTGCCCTGTGCTGTATCAGGGTACGAAGGCCCACGCACGCAGCACTTTGAGTGGTTCCTGTACAGAGATGATGCTGCTGGGAGGCAGATAGGAGTGGTGTCCACCAGGGACAAGGGCTTCCCTTATGCCCCGTTCCAGCCCCGGGTGAGGAACGGGGAGGTGAGGGTGGAGAGGGACTCAGGAGACAAGGTCCGGCTGGTGATCCAGAGGCTCCGGGCTGAAGACCAGGGGATGTATGAGTGCTACACGCCCAGCACGGACAGCACCTACCAGGGAAACTACAGCGGGAAAGTGACTGTAAAAGGTAAGAGATATACAGTATGTATTTAACAGTTTTGAAAATAAGTAAATTAGAGAACATCACCAACATTAAACAAAAGGAGCAGCAGCATCACATGTAACATATAACAGAGTTTACAACATAAAAACATAACATAGATTAATAAAGTAATCAGGGTCTAATAATACAGATGAGATCAGAAGGATAAAGTAACTGTAAGAATATTAAAGTACCACACAAAATATGAAAACAGAGATGCAATGATTATGTTAAAATCCATGAAATAGAAGAGTGCAGTGCATGAATAAAACATAACCCTGATGATTGGAATATATCCTAGAAGTCTGACTGAGTACAATTATCTTGAAACACAGCAAGATCAGCCTCCAGCCTCTCTCTGTTTTTGATTTTTCTTTTTCTTATTTTAAGCCACTAACTTTGGTACAGATGGTGTGACAGTATTGTAATTTACCAGAAAATGTGCCTGTCGCAAAGAGTATTGAAACATGTCAGTTATCAAATGCTGCCCTTGAATTTCTGGTCAGATTTATAATCTTGTTTACTTATTCTTTGATGAGACAGTTCCTGAGTAGAATTTAAATTTTGCAACTGTTATTCTGGTGTATTATTTGAGTTCTTGTGTGGCTGCTTGTGCTTAAACAACATTGAACGTCTGAGATCACTGGCTTCTTTTGTTGATTGCTAAAAGGGTTTTGTAGAAATATAATGGTACAATAATAGATATCTTTAAGTAAGACATTGGAAAGAAGGGTTTCAGTTGTGGCACTAAAACCCTTGTTTTATATCACCAACTACTACTACAAATATGGATGTGCCAATATATCGGTACTGGCCGTTATTTGCCCTCACTGCCATTGACCTGATCGGCAAATAAGTTGACATCCACCGATGGCAGTGACCAACGTTTTTCTGTTTTGCCACATCAGTTTTGCACAGCCTTAAAAGCAGGGTGCGAAAGTAACGGTATCCTTTTGTCCCAGTGACAATAGAAAATATGTTTGGTATGAAAAGACATCTTCCCTGGCACACCTTCAGGACTAAAGGACATAGAAAAGTCACTGTCACATGTCCAGGAACACACCCCATTTTTTCCCTGATAATGCTACATTGTGAACAACGAATCCATGTCGACATCGGCAGAAGGAGAGCTAGTTACCTTAACTAACAGCTAAGGGAGGTTGCATCTAGTTAAATTATGAAGATTATGATTTATTCAGTCAAAATTAGTTTTTGGTGAAGGTAAATTATAACGTTCTCATGATGTGTTCAAGTATAATCTGGTAAAAGTTTTTGGCAGGAAACTTAAATCTATACAGCTGTTTAAAGGAGAAATTTATTGACGTTTTTCACGGCAATATAAAACAGTTATTATATAGAGAAAAATAATATTTATGATATATGGTAAAAGGGCTTTTTAAGCATTTGAAAAAAAACGCTGTTTTTCATGTGAAAGAAGGTTGTTGAATTTCTGCTCATTCAAAGATAGCGTAATGTACAGCTGAATGACAGCTCAGTTATTGTTTTATAAGGAAGATTTCTTTGTGTCCCTGGCACAAAAGGCGGCATAAACAACAACAAAAACAAAATAAATTACAACAAAAAACAGTTTCTTCTAATGGCTAAATTGTTACTTTAAATATTGGATTCAATCCAGCTGCTGCATCCCTGACTGCAAGATTTCACATGATACCCAGTCTGAGCACCAACTGGATGACAGTCATAGTTAGTTATGACGTATAGTGGAAACCAGCTGACCAAATTCCAGATCTGTTATGGGGGTTGAGGGTTACTGTATGAGATGATTTTATCAGAAAGTCTGCACTGCATCAGCCAGATGGACGACATTTATTAATCATACTATGTGTTTAACTTGGTGCGTGATGACATTCCTCATGTGTAAGCAGTTATTTATACTTACCATCTGGAGTTTTCTTTTATACTGTTTCTCTTTCATTCTACAAAGATCCGTCTGCTGAAGCTATCCAAAATATTTTGGCAATTTTAGACCATCCACGTAGTTACCAATTCTGTTTCTTTTCATCATCTTCTTTGTGCAGCACAAAGTTTATGTTTGTAGCATGCTGGGTGTTAGTTTTGCAGCTGAAGTGTGTTATCTTCATAATAGCCAGCTAATCCTCCTTTCTTTGGCAAAGCCAGTGCCCGAAGCTAAGGGTGGTAAACGGCTTGCAGTCTCAGCAACCCAATTTCATGATTCGCTGTAGTGTTCTAAACATGGAAACGTCTAAGCAGCAAGCAGGCAATAGAAATTAAATTTAGCATATTTTCTCCTCCCATCTGGCTCCTGTAGCCTCCTGTTGTAATGTAATTGTCTGTCTGTGTCTGTTTGTACACCCGCAGTGATCCCTGACACACTCCAAATCAGCTATACCCGCTCCCTCACCAGCCAGCCCGTGCCAGAGGGAGCCGAATTAACGCTGACATGCTCTGCCGGCATCCAATCGGAGCAGCTCACCCATCTGTCCATCACGTTTGGGAAGCGTAGTGGCGGAGAGGGTATGGGGAGCGGAGTGGGAGGGGAGGTCAGCACCGTTAGAGAGATTATCTCCATTGACAAGCTGCTGGGGGTCGTCCCCGGACATTTGTACAAGAAGCGGTACGATAGCGGCGAGATCACGCTGGAAAAGAGGAACGGGGAGGCCGGACAGGATGTGTACGTGATGAAAATGAAAGCAGTGCAGCCAGACGACTCAGGCTCGTATTTCTGTGAGGCTGCGCAGTGGATTCTGGACCCTGATCGATCATGGCAGAAGATTGCACAGAGGACGCTGGATATTGGCAACTTGACTGTTCAACAACTAGGTCAGTGTAACTGAGAAACTGTGCCAGTATTTGTAGTGACATTTGCTAAAACTATGTCAGCATGTAGCAATGATCATACTGCAGCAAGAATATTGCACAATAATTCTGTTCAGCGATCATTGTTAAAACAACAGACGTTTAAAAGATGATGTGGTTAGTAATAAAATCTTGCAGCAAACTGAGGGAAGAAGATATAAAATAAAATAGGCTGCTCCAGTTACAGAACGAACCAGAGACAATAAAAGCAAAAGTTTGGTTTCTACTTGTCAGTTCAAGACTTTTAATTCTCTCTCAGTGCCGTCAGCTGGCCTGGACTTGTGGTGCTGTTGAGTACATTGGACTCTTTCCAGATTTAAGGCTCTGGATGTTTGTGTTACTCACAGCTTAACTGAATGTCGAGCTTGCTGGCTGGCTGACTGAGCAGTTTACTGACTGGATAGATAGGGGTGCTGATTAAACACGTAACTGGAATCACATCTGTAGTCAGCTTGTTGCCTTGTTTGTTGGCTGAGTAAGTGTTGAGCTTTCCGATTAGCTGCCTGGATGGCTGGGTTTTTCCTCCCTTACTGAGTGGATGGATCAACATCTTACTATCAGGGCTGCATCTAACGTTTTTTTTCTTGTTATCGACTTATCTGTTGATTAATTAATTAATCCTGTGGTCCATAAAGCGGTGAAAGATGTCCATCACAATATCTTAAGGCAGTTGCACCTGAACACACTGCAAAGACTAGAGAAAATGGCCAACTAGCACCCATGTTCTGCGCCTGAGTAAGGGGAAATAACTCTCCATTCCAACAGGCGGTGGAAACAGGAAAACGAACAGGACCGATTCAAGATGCTAGTTAGCCAGTTAGCACATTAACAACACAACCCGATGTTGAAAGAAGAAAGGATATTAACTGCGCCCTAGTAAACAATAGCGTAAACATTTACGTACCATTTCTGCTAAAGAGCTCAATGGAAAAAAAAAAAGTTTGTTTTAATCCCACGCCCCTTTGACTTTAGCTGTTTGTTTTCTTCCCTCAATTTCCATTTCTCTTCTTCTGCACTGAGTTTAACTGCCAATCAGAGTGATTTCTCTCACCACCAGACTCTGCCAGCTCCAATGCCAATTCAGTATGCTAAATTGGCTGGAAAAAAAGCAGACTACTGCCAACAGTGCAGGACATGTGGCAAAAACTAGGGCAAGAGACACTCACCGATGGCCCAACATCGCCTGACAGCCAGCTGTTGGCTTGGTTCACCAGGGCTCTTAGAGCCCGGGGTAGGGATGGGACGAAATACAATCTTAGCGCCGATCATGATATGAAAACATTCACAATAAGCGTTTAAGTGTTTGTTTATTAAAGGTCTGATGTTTAGGATTTAGGAGGCTATATTGGCAAAAATGTAGTATTATATCCATAACTTCGGTTTCATTAGTTTATAATCAACTGAAACTAAGAATCGTCGTGTTTTTATTACCTTAGAATGAGCTGTTTATATCTATATACAGAGCAGCTCCTCTTCCACGGAGTCCGCCATGTTGTTCTACAGTAGTTAGATAGGGCCATTTCTATTTTGACGCTCGCTGTCGTGTTCTCCTACACACTTGATACACAGGGGAGATTTCAGTTGGTTCCAATCTGCAACCTCACTGCTAGATGCTACTAAATCCTACACACTAGACCCTTAACAAAATGTAAGGTTAAGTGATTCCAGTTTGTTTTAGAGCCATTTTAAGAGTTTTAAGCATATTTTAATGATTATTGGGATGATAGTGTGAATTGCAATTAGTTTCAGCAGGATCCTCATGACATGAAATTTTCACACTGTCCCATGTCTAGCCCAAGGTGACTTTATCAAGTGTCTTCTTTTACTATACTATAATGTATGACTAAGGAAAGGCGGCAACTTCTCACATTTTAGAATCTGAAACTATTGAAGTACCACTCAGTATGTGTTCAGGATGTCTCCTGTCACAGCGCCTGACTGACAGGCCTGATGCTCAGCTCCCTTGCCGATTATCCAGCTGGATTTGATGGGTCGATAGCTGCCTGGCCGAGTAGCTGAATGACTGTCTGCTGCCACGTCGCTTGGCTCAATTTAAATTCTAAAGAGCTTGTGTAGATCTAAAGGATTAAGTCATCTTTCCTCCCACCTTGGCCTCTTATATCCCACAAAGAGGATGACTATCTTACTGTCAGAGTTATATGTCCATTACTGTCAGGACAGCTCTACCTGGCTCTTTAAACACTTTTTTTTTTTTTTAACACTTTGGATAGGGAGTTAACCTGATATATATTCTCTATGTTTGCTCATAGGAAAAAGTTAAATATTGAATTATTCAAACCATAAGTGTTCTTTTTTTATGAACCTTTGGTGCTGGGTAGAGACACAGACAGCCTCTTAATACTAAGAAACTATGTATTGGGAGTTAAAAGTTATGTAGGTCATATTTTTTCTCTTAAACAATAAAACTGAAGCTGAAGTTAAAGCATTGAATCTCATCAATGCATGCATTGTTTTTTCCCCCGACACTCACTGACAAGCACTATTTAGTGCTGTCTTTTCTGGCCTCTGTTGTCTGACTAATACAATAGTCTGACGTGTCTTCTTTTGTTTACATAAATAATGTATCTATTATTGAGCAGATCTGTGTTTAGGGAAGTGCTTAAATGAGGTTTCGCGCAAACACAATGGACCACTGTATTCATCTTCCAGTTATACGAGGGTTATTAGTACCTCCAATATGAAACCTCTTCAAGACATTAATCAAAGTTGCCGCTATGCGTTATTTGTGTCTCTGAATACGACACAGTAATCGAGCAATTAATAGGAAATTGCAGTATAAATTCACTGTTACTGCAAAGCTGAGTGCACCTCAGGTTATAAAATACTAGACTGATGAATATGATTGTGGCGTTTTAGTCGATAACAGCTGCAGTAGTTCAAATGAGTAACACATCTTTTAATAGGTGGATATTTGTATAGGACACAGGTTTGGCACATGTATGCACTGATATTTACGATACAGCAAGCATGTAATGGTCCCAAACCTGTTTGACTGGTGACAACTTAAAACAAATAAATGTTTACTCTTGTGTGTAAAGGCCTGAATTTCCACTAACTTGCATGACAAAAAAGAAAGATTACAGAAAAGCCTGACATTATCTATGTAGCAGAAATATGTTCTTTTCCTCTTCTCTGTTTGTTTAATCATCACAGTAGCCCTCAGATTTGTTTTACGACTCTTCTTAGGGGTCACTGATCTGGAAAATCGAATCCAGTATACAGAAAATATAATTATTCTAATCCCTTTCTTATTGTGTTCCATTTTGTTATACACTATAATCATCATTGTGTGATGCTCAAGGCCATTTTGCTAATTTTTGCTTTCTGGTTGAGGTGGTAATCCATTTTATCCTGATCATTAAATATGTAACATACCAGAGAGGTCACTCTCGCTTTCCCACAGAGATGATACAGTATATTGCTTCCTGGGAAGATTTTTAATGTCACAGTCTAAGTGCTTGTCTGAGGTCCTCCATCACAGAGGACTTCCTGTCTTTTCACTTTTACTTAGCTGTCTTTATCTTTTCCATTCACCAGCAGAGTCTCTGAGTATTACATCCTCACCCAGAGGGGAGGTGACCCTGCAGGTCGGTTCCCCTCTCATCCTGACCTGTGAGGTGTTGGGGCTGCCATCTGAAGTGAGCTCCGGCCTTCTGGTTCAGTGGATGAAGAGGGGATCAGTAAGCAGTGATGTCGCTGGGAGCGGAGGAGTCGAGGTGCTTATTCTCATTCTGTGGACTTATTTGAACTAATGTGGTTTGCTGTTTGCAGGTTATAGCTTAGTGTAGGGCTGTGTGTTGGCAAGAGTCTGGAGATATGATACATATCAGGGGTTATGATTCAAGTAGGGATATCAGTTTTGCTTGATTTTGCTTTTGATAGCCCAACATTGCAAAATGCAAATTGACCTTTCTTCTTAGTTCACTGCTCAGTTGACCTAGTGTGAGCTTTAGCACTGCACTTCAGAGTGCTATCAAATTAGAGGTGGTGAAATTTTGTGAAGTTTTGTGATGTAAATCTTTTGTCTTTAATATTTTTCTGTTAGCTTTGACATAAGTAATATAACACCTCTTGTTTACTTTAAAACCATTCAAACACAAATTGTGTACTTTAGCAATATGATTTATAGACTGTAATGTGCCTTGTGCTTCCTCCTTGCCTCACAGTCAGCCATACTTGTAGAAAAAAAGGGGCATGGCAATCAATTTTAGATTATGTGGAACATTGTGATTGCCTTACAGACATCCCATTAAATAAATTTGCATTTTGCTGGCTCAGGTGACAGTAATCAAAGAATTAAGACATCCAAAAAAGTAATGTCCATTGGAATGGGTGGGGGATCTAAACGGGGTAATTGACAGCATATTCTGTTAAAAAAACATGAACTGTGTTAATGACATGGTCCACACCAGACAGATGTTCTAGATTGTGTTTAGAGTTTTGAAAATGTGACCACAAATTGGACAAAAGGATGTAAGTGATTATAAAAAGTGTAAATAATAAATAATGCTAATGATAAAGATTAATTATCAGTCAACTTAATTGCAGGCGTGGATGGGTGATCCATCACAGTAACCCTTAACCCTAATTTATTTTCTGTCAAAGTGACATTGATGTTGCACGTTTATTGAGCTGAAATTCCAGATGGGTTTGAAATATTTTCAGGTGTGGTGCATTAAGTGCTGGAGGTAGAGTTCTGATAAATGACACTTGAGAGCTGGCTCTCAAACAGCAGCCAGAAATTGACATTATGGTTTTCATGACATTAGCATTTGATGGACATCATGGCATGCTTTAGGGAACAGTCTGCAATAATATAAAGAATTCACAGCTTCTAGTAAATTGCAGAGAATAAATCACATATCAATGTTCAATCTAACACATACTGACACACTGTATTTAACATTAAGGTGGAGGTGGCCCGGTTGAGCCCAAACGGCATTGTGAGCTGGGGGGACGACCTCAGCCGAGCCAGCGGCGGCTCTCTAGAGAAAGTGGCGGAGGGGAAGTACTCTCTGAAGCTGTTCTCAGCCCGGCCCTTAGACTCAGGGGTGTATCGGTGTGTGGTGAGTGTGTACGCTGGAAGAAGTAACCCTGGCCCTTCAACTCCTGCAACAATCACCCAGAGGTCAGAGGGAGTCACCGTGAACCTCAAGAGCAAAGGTGAGAAGCGCTACTCATGTCTCTTGTTGCACTATAAAACATCAAAGTAAGTGGTAACATCTATTTTTTAGAAATGATTTACCAAATGCCTGTGTCATTAAAGTCATGCAGATGAGGATAGAAAAACCAACAATGCTAATATTTTGATGCTTCACTGTCTGTTAGCTAGTTGCCACTGTACCCTGTATGACATGGGGAGGTGCAGAGAAGCCAAACATTTAATCACAGTTTTGCAGCATGGCTGAAACTGGTGTAAGGCAATCCATACTGGGCTTGTTGTATTTTTCTGCATAAAGTTTTTCAAACTCGGCACAATGGGAATCAGTGCAGTGGAATCCCACATATAGAGTGAGAAACACAAAATCCCTCAAAAAGACTCTCCAACAAACCCCTGCTATTTTCCAGTTCTGCTTTAACCTCATCTGCACCACAAGACAAAAAGAGTCATGTTTTATGTTACAATAAACATTTGGACAAAATTGTCCCCAACCCTCAGAAATTGTTCTGGTTCTTCCCCCAATTAGTTATTGTTAAATTGGTCTTAAATTTTGTTCCGAGTGTCATAAAAAACATTGTAAATCTAAAGCTGTAGGAATCCCGCACAGCCTTCATCTCTATTAGTGATTACCCTTTCTTTCCATTGTTGATTACAGTTCTGCTGTGTATTGGTTTGGTGTGAGAAATGATTTAAAAGTACGAATTCATGCAGTGCCTCAGTGGCCCAGTCTGGAGGTCTGGGCTGTGAGCCATTTGGCCACAGTGGGGCTGAGTTCAAATGGCTCCAGCTTTACAAATCTGTCTTAAAGTTTTAAGTAAATTCATAAAACTTTGTGTATTTTCTGAGAAATGGTTTTAATGAAAACAAAACATCAGGGATAAATAATAAGTTAGTTTAGTATTCCAGTGCTCAGCGGTAGGCTGCCAAAGCTGAAATCTGTGGTTTCAGTGGTTTCATGTTGATCAGAAAAGCATGTTAGCTAAACTTCAGTGAACTCAGGTCACCTTATTAGGATGATTGTTAAAAAAAATAAAATAAAATGGAAACATCTGCTTCATCACACATGGAAATCATGCATTTGAGTTTTGTTTTTAAACTGACAGTCACACCATATGTTCAGTTTACCCTCTATAAACTGTTCTTTGAATGACCACTTCGTTCCACAGATGTGCTCGTTGCAGCTGTGGCTCAGCTCCCCCGGGGCCCTCTGTTAAAAAGAGGCAGCACCATCACACTGATCTGCAACGCCACCGTGACAACCACAGGTCCCGCCCAGGCCCAGGTGCAGTGGCTGCGGTGGCCAATCCCTGAACGAGTTATCAAGAAGGATGAGAGCCCAGCATCTGATGTTGCTGTGACAGTTCCCCCTGTGGAGGAGAAGCCCACACTGGTAGCCGTCCTCATGTACAATGGTGTCGCAAAGACCTACACCAACGGAAGTGAGATAAGCATCGACCGCCTGTCAGCTGGCAGCTACAGACTGAGGGTTCACTCGGCTACAATGGATGATCAGGGCATGTATGCCTGTCATGCCCAGGCGTGGGGTCAGGACCCGCATGGAGGCTGGTACAACACGGGGGCCAAAGCGGAGTCAAACACGGTGACAGTTTACCTCTACGCCAGAGGTAAGAGTCTCCCTGGGTTTGTTTTACTGTAATAATCATAGTGATTATGTACAGATTACAAAAAGACTTTTGTCGCAGTTTTGCTGAGAGCACGGCTCTTCTTCACACTCACAGTTAAACACGTTCACCTCTTAAAGCTCCAGATTTATCCTGCTGGTCCGGGAATTTATACGGTGACCTTCGATCACTAGCCTGAGGCTAGCCTGTGTAAACGTCAAGAGTAAATATCAAACATTTACTCTTGACCTTGAGAAGTGTCTGTACATTTTAAGTAGATTGATTCTTTTCTACATCCTTCCCTAGCAGTTCACGTGTTTTTACACCTGAAATATGAACACAGTGTGTACACTTTATGGCAACCATGACACTGGATATTAACATGCATCGTTGGTGATTGGATCACAAGTGGACAGCTCTAAATACAGAATGTGAATGTTCCCAGTGCGTCCTCAGTGGGTCTTGGGATCCGATTTAGAGGTGTTCGGCCAGCTGGAGAAACACTACTGCACATATTCAGTTGGCCACATATGGTGGAAGTTAACCTGGAAGGTAGAAACTTTCTTTAGCGCATGCACCAGATGAGTCATTCCTCTGGACTTATTGGTGCCATCTTGGGGTCCAGTATCCAGGTATTATACATCTGTAGTAATACAGTGAAAAAGATCTTCATCCAGATGTTACAATGTTTTTAATATCCTCAGAGACTACCGCCATCTCTTACAGTGCCTCCATTTAAAGGTAGAATATTACCATCTCCTCCACTGTCTCCATATTTGTTGTCAGGAGCCTTTGACTCCGCCCTCTAGTGCCTTTCATTGGCTGTATCTATGTTATCATAAAGGATGCATAGACGTATGAGGGCAGTGATGGTTTGTTTGAGGTGAAAGTTTGAAATAAACATATCTATTTTTGTACATAAAGTGAGTATAAATGACCCTCTAATGCACTGTACTCGACAGTTCCCCATCTGAAAGTGGATTATAACACAATTTAAATACTTTTCTTGTACAGATGTTAGTTTACATCCTTCTCTCTCATTTCTTCTCCCCCCAGCTGCTGACCTCCTCCTCATCCCTTTGGTTGTTGGAGTCTCCTCCGCCTTGTTTGTGGGCATTGTCATCATCGCAACAGTAACCTGTTGCTTCATGAAGCGACTGGCAAGGCAGCGGGCTCAAAAATAGGTGTCCACTCTCGACACATGTCTGAAATCTGAATATTCATAAAGAGGCCCAAATGAGGTGATGCACAGAACACGATGGATGAGAAATAACCTTTAGATGAAAATTAAGTGAAAAGTGACTGCCACCCTGTTAGATGATTTTCCGTGTTTTTGACCTACCTGTTTAACAATCAATGCCAAAATTTTCTGTTTTATATTCTCTTGTATTTTTTATATCCAGACCCTCTCTGAACATATTTTAGTGATTGCTGCAGTACGCACCAGTAGGCGTAATAATCTTAATTTTTAAAGCCACCATCTAATGACCCCTCTCCACTTCTCAGGTGGGCCAGGACTCACAATTTTTTGGAGTCTTGTTTCCATGTTAGCTAAACCCACCTTTTTAGCAATCCTTTTGCCCCAGCTTATTCTGTTTCAAATGCAAATGGGTAAAAAATGCATAAGATACGCAATATTTTTGTGACAAGGTGAAAAGTAAAGAAGGTACTGCAGGTTTGTTTTGAGTCTCTCAGATGTGAGCTGCTGTATTGTTTCTACAGAGAAAGCCAAGATCATCTCCCCCTCAGAAATCATAGTTTGTTACGAGTATGAAGGTACTAAATGGTTCTCAGCCTGTCGGATGTTTTGTATGATGCTGGATGTGGATCATCCTCCATTTAGAAATGGCTCTATTTTCACACAAAGAGTATTCAGTGTTTTCACAAATCGTTGATACTGTTCCAGCTGTTGCTTCCCTCAAACTGCATGTTTTTCTTTTTGTTCCAAAAACACGTCTAAATGTCTGTGCATGGTTAAGCCTCTAACACTGCCACACTGACAGTCACATGAATGCTGATGGGAGCAGTTCAGCCTCCAGAAACTCAATACGAGCAGGGACCTTCCACCGCCTGCAGCCCAGCTCCGCTCTGCATGTAAACAAAGTCTCTGTCTGTTACTTAATAAGGAAGACGGCTGGCTGGGGGCTTTCTGATGCCAAGACCAATTGTGTACCGTTTCTTAAATACAAGCATTCCTAGCCTGTGATGCTTTTGCGCTGAAGTGAGTTTTCTATACGGACTTGTATAGATTTGACAAAACAGAAATGGAAGAAATATCCATTATGCACTGAGCTAAAAATATGTAAATATTGTACGGAGTTTAGCTGTTTTATTTTTATTAATGTGAGTGAGACTATGCTGTCTTTGGCAAAGCACCTGTGTTTAACATTCTGCAGCAGTCTGTTCTGCTCTTTTGAAGCACTTGGACACAAATGGGACTGGGACCAAAGCCCCTCTGTATCCTTCTGTTACTTGATTTTCTTCCAGCTGAAAAGTCACTTCTTTGCTGTACTTGAGTGAATACTATTGAGTGTTTTTTGTTTCTTTTCTGTGTGATTAATGCCTCCATCGCTCTTGTGACTGAGACAGAAAAACAGTACTGTGAAAAAGAATCCACTATTTGTTACACAGTAACACAAAAACCACTGTTCACACTGTTTAGGTTACTTGTCCCCGAGGTGAAAATCACAGAAGCAGCGCGGTCATATGACCTGATAGTTAAGTGAAGTCTCACTATCGCCGTCGTCATCATGTGGTTCAGGCCACATATTTTTGCAGCCAAGGCTTATTATGAATATAGCCCCTGCTGCTAGCCCGCAGCAATCTGTTGGACAGATTGACTGTGCCTGCGCACTTATAATGGGTGAAATCCATCCTCTTCTTCCTGTCCAAAGTATCACTTAAGAAAAGTGGTCATGCGAGCGTGCCCGCATTGTGTGATCACTTTAAGTTAGATACATGTTCATGGAAAGGAGGAAAAACGTAAAATCTCTTGTTATCCAGCTCGTGGCTCTCATGAATTTATTTCAGGTCATTTTTTCCTGCTTGTCTAAATTTGTTTGCACTGAGCTATACTTTACAGTCTCAGTCTGTCTTTACCGTCTGTCTGTCTGGTGGGTTTTCTGATGTGAGAGTCACTCTAAATCTGCCTGTCCTCCCTAACCTGTGCGCTCTAAACCCCCCGATTATAAATGTCGTTCATGAACATTAGCGAATAAAATCACAGCTCTGCTTGCTTCCCGAGCCACTTTGTTCCAGATCAACTACTCAAAGCTGATTTGTTCCCCCACATACCCACCCACCACATGATTACATACTTGCACACATACACAGACAGATGCACGTGAACACACAGCAGCAGCCGCGGCAGCAGCAGCACAGTGCTGGCTGGCTGGTATTCCAGATGAAAATAAGTGAGTATCTGCGTGTTCATCTCTAATCCCTGTTTATGGCTGCAGTTTGTGTCCTGCTGCCCTCCCCCCTCCCGCTCTCAGTATGTTACAGATTCAGTGTGGCTCGCATTCGATTCATTTCAATCTCTGTGCCCTGAGAAATACAGCCAGCTGTATAAAGTGTAGCACATAGCGTGCAATGTGTAAAAGCTGCTGTCTTAAAGGGACAGTTCACCCCCAAAATCAAAAATACATATCTTTCCTTTTTCCTGTAGCACTATTTATCAATCTAGATTGTTAAGGTGTGAGTTGCAGAGTGTATCGAGATAGATGGCACTCAGCTTGTGATGCTCAAAGCGCCAAGAAAATACATTTGAAAAACTCAACAGCAATGTCTCTTTCCAGAAATCATGACCCTGGTTACTCAAGATAATCCACAGACCTTGTTGTGAGCAGTTTCACGTAGGAACCATTTTCTCTTTTACTAAACTACACCCGCCAACTGCATCACTGTGCAGACAGAAGCTTGCATCCTCTGCTAGCTTTTCTAGCACTACTGAGTTAGCTAACGTTACAGCTCAGCTTAGGGAGACGGCACAAGCACAAGCTTCTCTGCCATGAGCAGATGCTTGCTTCCTTCTGAGGGGTGATATGGTCGGCGGGTGTAGTCTGGTAGAAAGAAAATAGTTCCTACATGAAACTGCTCACAACAAGGTCTGTGGATTATCTTTAGTAACCGGACCAGGATCTCTGGAAAGAGACATTGCTGTTGAGTTTTTCAAATCTATTTTTTTTTAGCCCTGTAAGCTCCACAAGCCGAGTGAAATCTAGTACCATTATATTGGAGAGAAGGCAGACATCTCTACGGCCGATATCTCCAACACTCTGCAGCTCATACCAAAACAACCTAGATTAATAAACTGTACTGGAGGTTAAGAGTATGTATTTTTTATTTTGGGGTGAACTGTCCCTTAAGTTGTGCTTCTGTTTGAGACTATATTAAACCCTTTCCATGAAGGTGTTACGTTTTGTTCAAACTGTTTACTCATGCTTTAATACCACTGTTCCTGACCGCATCATGCTGCCATTGAAATAAAGGCGGGTTATTGCTCAGTTTGTTTCTTATGGTGCTTTGGCGAACCTGCCAGTTGATAAACCAATAAACCACTCTGGATTCATTTTGTCACTTTGATTTTATTTATGCCTTTATTTTCTGCTACGATGACAAAAGTCTGCTCTAAGCACAGAACCAAGAAATGTTCATATCGGAGGCCGCAGGAGACAGCTGAGGTATTACTGCAGGACATTGTGCGTGGAAGGAAATAATCCAATCTGTCTGAAAAAGTGTTCATGAGCTAGCTGTGCATATTTTCCATCCATATAGTATGAAAAAAACAAAACATATCTTGTGGTTGCTGCAGTTTCCAAGCGAGGAGCAGCCAAGCAGAGATTTGTATTTCAGCTCAAGTAAACTCTCAGCACTTTGGGACGCAGTTATAGAGGTAAACAGGCAGAACATTTGTTTTATATTGGCACAGAATAAGATGCACTCATGCATTCCAAATAATAGCGTAATTATGAGGTCTAAATGAATATATTTTACATGGCTATTGCTTGGTTTAGAAATTCCTGATGAAACACAGACAAATACACTGGTTTAAACTGCACTTTCACTCAGATAGAGCCACACTCTTGGAGCCTTGTATCGTAGATAGAGAAAGCCTGATGGTTGAACATAAATCTGGATGCATTTATACAGCCTGCAAAACACGTTCAGTATCTCATATGACAGCTTTCATTTAATTCATTTACAGTGTAATTGATCCATTTATCATGTCATTTAGAGTGCATCACAGCTGCAGACTCAATTAACAAATGAAATTATCTCCCTTAGTACCCATCAGTATACTGACCAAACACTTTTCAGTCTGTTGCTGGATCATTACGCTCCATTTGCAAAGCTAAATTAAAGCTGCAATGATCAATATTTTTCGTATCAACAGTGGATGAAATGGCTGTGCAAAGTTAAAGGGGTCACTCTTAGTACAGCCCAGTCGCCAAAAGAAAATGTTGGCACAGTACACATCTGTAGACCATGTTAATACAGACGTTACATTTGAATGTTTCATGAGCTGACTTTGTCATTGGGAGGTGGAGGGGATGATGCATATTACGTATACCTGCCTGAGACGACTGCAGACCACAGTTCGAGACCAGCAAACAACAAAACGGGGTGTGTTTTGCAGCACATTCTCACTCCCAACTCGTCAAATACAGACACTTCCTTCGTCAGTGGCCTGTCACATCAAAATACAACATTCTAGGTAACCCCACTGGGTTATTTTTTGTCATTAATGAACAGCATATCATTTTAAGCTATTTTCAGGATAAACTTAGATTGTCGTGGGAAATACACAGTTTTTGCTCATTAAATGCATACAGTATTTTTCAAAATTAACTTAGACTGTAGGTAAAAACCATTTATAGTTTTAATTCCTTAGGTTTAGGCAACAAAAGCACACGGTTAAGTTTAGAAAAAAACTGATTCGGCTTAAACTAAGCATGTTTGTTACTGACATACATCACTAGCATAACATACTACACAGACCAGCACACTACATCGTTATTAATATAACTCAGTTGAGTTTTGTTTTCACACAGGACACAAACAGCTGGCTCCCGGGTGAAAGTCCAAAGTTTGTTCACTCATTATACCACGGTAGTTGCCAGAAGCATTGAGAAATGCCGCCGCCTGTCGAGTTGAGTGTGAGACCAGATTGTTTTTTTTAACAAAAGGCAATGCATTTTCAGCTGTGATTGTGTCACCAACAGTGGGTATTTTAAGCCAGAATATGGTCTTTTCCTAACCATAAAGTTTTTTTGCACCTAAACATAACCATACGTCAACCACAGCATTTGTAAAACATCTAAAAGCATAAAGTTTCAACATATCTGCTACATAATAATGTACAAATGTAACATATTGTAGTTTGCTGCAAAGTACAATGCCAACATTTATTCTGTTGACTGGGTTGCTTAGTTACAAACTCTGGATTTCACTGGACTGCAGTTTACCCTCAGCTCTGCAGAGCATTTTAGTGTCTTTCAGCTCACGGCCTGCAACCTCACTGTTTTGGTTCACTCGAACTGATCTCATCAACCTTGTTTCTAGCTGCAGCAGATAGCTGTTTTCAGCAAAGAAGCCACTGTGTGCTTCCTGACCATCACCAAACAACTGGTGAACACAATGAAACCTGAGCAGCTAAGAAGCCAGATATTTTTCTCAGACGTTGGTGGAGCCCAAAACGGAGCCAAAAGGAGATTAAATGTTGAATTTACATTTGTCAGATGGACAGAAACAGCTCCAAATAAATTACAAAGCTGTTCTTATTTCTGCTGGATGTGTAAAAACGCAACAATTTTCTGAAACAACTTTATACAGTGGTGGAAAAAAGTTTTCGGACACCCTTAAAATTTTACACAATCTCAAATATTATCATGAAATATTTGTGGAAAAATCTTTTTTGTGTTTCAAAAGGTGTGGCTGCATTAGACAGATACAAACAAATACAAATTATATTTTTTTGTTCATTGTTTACAAGAAAAACTAATAAAACTAAATTCTTGACAGTTTCAATATGTCAGTTCTCAACATTGTTGGTATCAAAGTCAACAAATAACAGAGAATGTGTTCAAAACTGAACAAAAAATAAATAAACCATCACATCATCAAATTAATATTTAGTAGTCCTGCCATTGGAACGTAGTAGAGCTCTAATCCTGGCTGGCATGTTCCCCACGAGCCTTTCACACTGTTGAGGGGTAATCTTGTCCCATTCTTCTTGAATTACTGCTTTTAATTCTTCTAAATTCCTTGGTTTATGCTTTGAAACAGACCTTTTGATAATCCACCACAGATTTTCAATGGGGCTCATGTCTGGGGATTGAGCTGGCCACTCTAAGACCTGGATACTGTGCTCCTGCAGCCAAGTTCTACTGGCCTTAGATGTGTGGCAAGGGGCATTATCTTGTTGAAACATCCAGTTTTTACCTCAACGGAACAGTGCATGCGCAGAAGGGAGCATGTGGGTTTCGAGAATGGTACAATACTTGGTAGAGTTCAATGTGCCATCACAGACAGTGAGATGACCAACACCAGCAGCACTCATGCATCCCCAAACCATGATACTGCCTCCACCATGCTTGACAGTAGGTACTGTACATGCTGGAGATAATGCTTCGCCTGGCCTTCTGCGTACCCTCACATTAGTAGGAGGAAGATAAAGCTGGAAACTGGACTCATCTGACCACAAAATCTTCTTCCAATTCCTGGCTGTCCAGTTCTTGTGTGCCTGGGCCCAACGACGCCAGGCTAACCTCTGTCTCTCATTGATCAGGGGCTTCTTGATAGCCTTGTAGGACCTTAAGCCATGATCTAAAAGTCGGCCACGTACAGTGCGGGTGGAACACCGGACACCAGTTTGGTTTGACCACTGCTGCTGAAGCTCCTGTGATGTCATTCGGCGGTTTTGCCTGCACATGCAGATCAGGATGCGGCCATTTCTTGCTGAAGAAACCCTTGGACGCCCAGATCTTGGTTTGTCTTCCAAGCTGTTGGTTCGTCTGTATTTCTGCAGAGTGTATCCAACTGCTGAAAGACTGCATCTGCACTTCCTGGCTATCTGGCGGCAGCTGTATCCTTCCTGGCAGAGAATCTTTATCTTCAGGCGTGTTTCCTGCGTTAGGTTCCTTGTTTTAGCCATTTTTGTGTCTGAAGAACTTTCAAATATGCTGGCTTTATGTAGACACGAAGCTTGGCAACAAAAATTGTGTCTTTTAATAAAAAGAACGACCTTTATCACTGGTACCAAAATGACCCAATACTCAAAATTTCTTACGTATTTTTATGGAACCAATCAATTTTAAGATTTAATGGCTTTTTTAGGATTTATTTAGTATTTTAGCTGTGACTGTACTAAAAGAAATTGCACTTGAAGACCTAAGAGTGATTCTTAATGCAATATTTCACAAATGCATGGGGTGTCCGAAAACTTTCCACCACTGTATGTTGATTTATGTCATTGTTGACTCCTCAGTGGCCAAATTCTGATTTAATGAGGGACATTAACTGATGTGGTTTTATTTCTGTATTCATCCAGCAAAGATGTCATTTCAAATTGGATCAGCAATGTGGCTCATTAAAGGCCGGCAAGGACAACTGCATCCATCAAAGAAATAAAACATGTGACAGTTGCTTTCAAGTCTGAAAAAAGCTAGAGATAAAAATGATGTCAAATTAAAGAAAGTGCAGAATGATAATGCAAAAAACATGATTTTATTTTCAAGCTCAAAATGAATTATGTCAGACACAAATACATTTCATTCTACTCTTGAGGCTGCCTCTGAAATTACCTGTGCTGCCGTGGCTCTCTGAGCTGCCATGGTATTACAGTATATCAGTTTACAGAGCATTACATCACTAATGCAAACACTGTACCAATGTTAATCCTCTCCTTCCTGTATGACTTCAGAGGGATGTGGCAGGCAGGCAAACAGAGGCTTTGTGGCAGATTGATAAGACGCTGCTCTGCCTGTTACTGGTTGGCTAACGTACGTGCTCTCCCAACCAATCCCTGTTGGCTGAACGTCAACAGAGGCAGGATTAAACATGCAACACACACTGTAGGGCAGGTGCCCTCGCTGTGGCAAAGCCTGTTGGGAGTCACTGATGTCACCTGTCTGCTGTAAAACAACCACGTCCAGCTTTACTATAAATACAGCAGAAATAAGGCAAGCTAAAGAGAGTTTGTTAAAAATATATACAGTACATATTTTCCACCAGTAGGTTATTTTGTATATGACTTTGGGTTAAATATGGAGCTTGACCCGGGAAGTAATTAGCTTAGCTTAGCATAAAGACTGGTAACAGGGGGGAACAGCTAGCGTGGCCATGTCCAAAGGTCAAGAATCTGCCAACCAGCACCTCTAAAGCTCAATAATTAATATGTTGTATGTTATTTGTTTGATTTGTATTTAAAAAACGGACAAATTTTCCTAAAACTTTGTACTTCATTAAGACCTTGTCTGTCGGTAAACATGCTACTGGTTGATTAATGTGCAACAGTTTGCTTACAGTATGATATTTTATCAGCAATTGATTAAAAAAAAATCTGTTAATTACAACAGTTTTTAAAGAAAGTTTTACACAGCTTGAATTATTAAAGGAACTGTATACGACAGGGGTGTCAAACACACGGCTTGGGGGCCAGATCCGGACCGCCAAAGGGTCCAATCCGGCCCTGACCTTGCACACCTAATAGTGATGAACTTGTGAAGGCTAAGAGGTGCCAGGTTTCAGGAGCAAGTTAAACAGTGAGTTGCTTTCTTCATGTAAAATGCTGCTGCAGAGGCTTTTCTTTCACTTTAGTTTTGTGTGGTGCTGTCAGGATTACTACAGTGGAGTGGAAATGTATAGAGAAATACATATGTAATGGCAGTGAGTAGTTGACTGACTAAATGTGGAAAAACTGAGTGAGAAATATTGTTGAAATTGCATTTATTCTTCTGAAGACATCACAGGTTGTTTGTCAGCTGTGTTGTAAATGGATGAGCATTTTCAAAATGTACTTCTTTCAACAAAAAAAGGTAAAAATTCAGAGGTGTTTGATATTTATAGGACATTGTGCAATGGTTTTACTGGTCAGGCCCACCTGCGATTAAATCGGACTGTATGTGGCCCATGAACTAAAATGAGTTTGACACCCCTGGTATATGACGTTCAGAGAATTAATAAAGTAGCAAACAGCTATTTGCCATGTGAAGATATAGTAGAGTAATGGTGTCCTGAGCAGAAAATGAAGTCACACTACCTTTGTGTGTTGTAATCCCAGCTTCCCTGTTCTTTTTTGTGGTAAACTGGTTCAGCTGCACGTACATGTTAGTGCATGAGTCCCTGTGAGTGTGTCCCAATGGTAAGCTAATCGCCACCTCTCTGCACTGCGCTCATACTGCGGTTCAGGGTGCGAACTACAGTGGAGCCAGGGAGGAGCTTGGCTTCTCTTAATAAGGCATGAGCTCACCCGTAAACATGATTTGTTAATTTTTTGACAATATGCTATTTTGCCAAGCACTGCTATATTTCCATATCGTCATCATCATGGGAAATTCATAAAATTACTGTTACTGATGTGTGGTCCAAGCACAAGGGTGAGTCATCACTAATTTGCTCTAATAAAAATATTAAATACATGCATGCTATTCATGCCATCACATCCAAAGCGTGGTGGCACAATTAACCTCCCTCACTTCAACTCAAACATCAGAAAAAAAACAAAACAACTTCTCAGATCAGATGTGCAAACATACTAGAGCAACTAGGCCTACATGGTTTCAGCTGTTGAAAATGTTTTATTTGTAACAAGAGTCACAATCAGTCCTCTCTTTGAGGCATATGCAAGTGCCCCCCACCCTCCGTAAAAAAAGTGAGCTCCCCTGAAAGCCATGTTTTAGTTCACACACTGCGGTGGTTACCACTGATAACACCGTCCCGACCCACAGTGGTGAACCCCATTGTCAGCACTGTTGCCATTGTTCCCACTGACTGTGTTATTAGTACTGTTAGCTACTAGCCACCGGCTTAGCCGTCTCCATGTTGAGACCCATGTGCAAACAATCCCGGCTCAGATTCTGAATCATAGATATGCTCTGAATGTTACATACAGCTCCTTTAAACATTATTTAACACTATCATACAAACACAAACTTGGAATATTTCAGAGGTGATATTTTGGGTAACATCAGCCCTGAATAACAACATAAAGAAAAAAAGGGACAGTCAAATCTTGACCCAAAGAAAAACTTACACACTAAAAACTGAAAAAACGTACATATTTACATGTCTTCAAAGTTTCTTTCTCTCCTGTGTTCAGTCCTTTGTCATTTTCTGACCCTGTACCCTCTCATGATTTATCAGCCCAGCTGGGAGGCAGCATCATCTCTGGTAGCTGCACGACCACGATCGCGGCGTCACCAACTCCCAGAAGCTATTCTGTTGACACAGAGTGGGAGAAATGGTCTAAATATGGAAACATTATCTGTAATCCTTTTACACATTTTATCTGTATGATTTAACATCCATTTAACATCACTTAATAATCTCATTTAATAAATGTCATATCTATTTTTAGACAGCAGTGATCTGTGTTAAGCCATTGTGTGTGTGAATGATGCGACTGGCTTTAGAGGATGCCTTCGCTGGGGCTGCACAGAGATGCAGAGATGCAGTCGTTGGTGGTGGAATAAGTATGTTAAGTACATCTACGCCCATCTGTCGTGCAAATCCTTCACATCTGTGACTTCATCAAACGCTCTGGGTTGAAATGGGAGGGGTCTTTTAAGGGTTAAATGCATGTCAGAATTTTTTACAGACAAACAGTTACTCAAAGCATGTGGATTTTCTACATGTGCTTATGTGTGTAAGATGGGTGTGTCATCTCTGTTAAAACAAGTTAATGCAATTTATACGTGCATCTACACATAGACTTGTAGTCTGTGTAGTAACAGATGTTCATGAATGAGTGGAGATAAGAACAGACGACAAAGCCAGGATGATGAAACAGGAAAGACGTCAGATTCATCTGGTTAGTGGCGTCTGTGTAAGTACTCAAGCGCAAGTCATGTAATGTACTTATGTAGTATATATCTTTTTTTTTAGTTGATTCACCTGCTGACCTATTTTCCGTTAATATATCTCAGAAACTGAGGTCAAAGTGCTGTCAAATGATGACACTTCAGACTACAAACTACAAACGTATGGAATTCTGTTTAAGTCAATATTAATTAAATACATAAATAAATAGAAAAATATATGAGCCTATGAAATAAATAAATACATCAATGAAATAAATCTGAAATAATATGCAAATATAAATATAATAAATAAATAACTTAATCAAGTTTGATTAATAAATAAATACATAAATAGATTTGTATTTAAGGATGTTTTTTAAGAACTACTTTATTTCAGGGGACTTTATTTCATAACTATTTATTTAACATTGACCTAAGGGGATAATTGGGATCTTTTGAAGTGGGGTTGTATGAGGTACTTATCCATAGTTGGTGTATTACATACAGCAAATGGCGCTGGGCACACCACCAGTTTGGAGGAAGCACACAGGACTGTCAACATGGAAGCTAAGCATCTATTGCTGTCGACAGCGGCAGCAGAAAAGCGTATTTTAGCCACCTAAAAAAAATCTTGCCTTAGAAAAATAAAGATCATTTTAAGTGTATGCTGTATTTAGAATATTTTTATGGCTCTACCTTGCTGTCAGCAATTTTTAACTGGAAACTGAAGGTGTTACATCACTCTCTTCAAAGCCACCATCGAGAAAAACAGTGATTTAACATCGCCTAACACAGGAGCTTCGGGTCTACTGCAGCCTTAATTAGTCTGTTTTTTTCTGTTATTGTGTGACTTTGGCGCAAAAGGGAATGCACGGATTCACCAAAGTCATACAATGATACAAACTGACTAACTGATCGAGGCAGCAGGAGACCAGCAGCTCCCACGTTCAGCAAGCTAAAATTACTGTTTTTGCCAATGGAGTCTGGTGCCTCTGATGAAAGCATGGATGGGGGATCGAAGCCTTTAACAGTTTCCCTGTTGGAAAGAGCTGTCTGCAGGAAGGTAAGGTGGTAAAGATATTCTCAAGATAGCGTACACTTAAACTGTTGTTTTTTGTTTTTTGTTTTTTTTTTTAGGTGGCTAAACACGTTTTGTCGACAGCAGTACATTGATTAACTTTTGTGGTGGTACTCCTGCCTATTTCTCCAAACTGGGAGCATTAACAGCCATTTACTGTATGTAATACACTGACTATGGATAAGTACCTCAAACAACCTCACTTCAAAAGATCTGAATTCTAAATGGCATCCATGTGAACAAAAAGATGTTTGCAGCTGTGTTTATTTAAAGCATAGGTTTTTGATGTTTTTCTCCTTGCTGAGCTTAAAACACAGTCCAGTGGGATCGTTGTTCAAGCCTTCAAACATCATAATAAATCTCACATTATAGTTAAGTATGTCTCCATGCCTTTTGCTGTTACAAATTGCACTTTCTGTCAGGTTTTATTGATTTTTATTGTCACAGATGTAGCCAAGGAAACTGAAGTATAATATGTAGCATGTTTCTGTCACTATAAATTATAGTTATGTCTGTCTTGCCAAGCTTTTTGATGGCATGACTGATAGCTTGAGCAGAATCTGCAAAAAAGTAGTTTATCTTTAGAGTAGAATAAGCATCATCCAGATATAAAGGTAATCAAACAATATGCCTGATAATGGCTTTGCTCCTTAAAGCTTTCCCAGTACTAGCAGTACACATATAGGTGAAATACATACCTCTTTCCGAGGGCAGTGTATCTGAGCGTACCACTCCTGGCAGTAGAGACACACCTGGACACCCTGACCGAGGAAGAGACACGCCCACATGATGACATTGAACACAGGGCTCTGGCGCTTGTCGTTCATGGTGAAGTTGAACACCACTAAGAGAAGAAGACATGAGCTGATGACTGTTCAGTTAAACTGTGACAGGGACAAACAATAAGGGCATGAAAAGTTAAAAGTAAAACGTTCTATCTGATGACTGAGTCCCAGAGGAAAAGGACACAATGCACGAGTCAACTCTGTTTAATTATAACGAGAGTCATCCTGTGAAAACCGCTACTAAATGTTTGTTAGAGTGACTAATTACAGGTTTTAACAAGGCGTGTAGGCACAGTCCAGAATGTGGGAGTGGACATTTACATATTTTTAACAAGCTATTAAATTCAGAGTCGTATTTGAGCTTCAGTAATGAGGTAGACATGAAACACTTAACTCTCTATCTTATCATTATTTGAAAGCAATGTATGTTTCCAGCAGCAAGGTCAGAGCACCGGATACCAAAAATTCCTGTTTATATCACTGTGAAGTTTGTTCCCTGAATAATGAGTACAACCCTCACCTCCAAAGATGGCAAAGAGACAGAACATGACGGGATAGAAGAAGCCAAAACCCATGGTGAAGGCGTACTCGTGGACAACAGCGGAGACGATGAACACAGAGAGCATGGCAGCTGTTCGGAATTTCCTTTTCGACAGCTGCGGGGATCAGAGAAAGAGAGGGTTTGGCTCAAAGTTCAGGGGTCAGCTGGTTCGGCGGGGGAATCTGTGTCACTAGAATTACAGGATGAGTGTTAGACTGCTATACACACTTCATCACATGACATGCTGCTTTGGAAGTGCAGAGACGAGATCCACTGGCACATTGTTGTTCTATTTAACACTCTAAGATGCCAGCTTTTGTTTTTGCCATGCATTTTTAATTTCTCCTCGAGTAGGACCTGCTAAGTAAAAAAAACTAATCATTGTCTTTGAGCAGTAACATTAACAGTCCTCATTTGGGGACGATGGGTATATTTTAAATAGTAACCAGTGTGTAAAAAGGTATAAAACAGTTTATTTCAATGTCTAAACATTGTTGTGTAAAAACAAAATTACAAACAACATAATATTTGTTCAATATTTTGTAACTCTATAGGTAAGGGGGCCCCTGTTCAAGTCTGAAACTGTTCAAAACTGTTCATTTCAATGCCTGAATATGGCTGTGCATAACAAAAAAACCCAAAAAAGCCTATGATCTGTTCATTTTATAACTCTGTATGGATTTTCTCTGCTGCGTACTTAAGCTATGAATGTCTTTTTGTCTCTAGGAAAAGTCTGTCACATGTGTGAAGTGTTGCAATACTGCAATTAATAATAATGCATTTTATTTATAGGCACCTTTAAAAGCACTCAAGGACACCTTTGATTATAAATCCTAGGTATAAAAACATCTTCATAAAGTCGTCATCAGTGCAGGTCACCATATGTGTGTCACCATTAAATCAGACCGAAAATGCAAGCTTGAAAAGGTGTGTTTTCAGACAGGATTTGAAAGTGGAAAGGATGTCAATATTGCGAATGTCGTTGGGGAGAGAGTTCCAGAGGCAGCTGAAGGCTCTACAACCCATGGTGGTGAAGCAAATTATGGATTCCCGATGTCCTCAAATGAGTACTTCCTAATTAACAGCATAGTTTAGCTTGTTACTATCACTACAGTTTGTCAAATTTGTATGCCATGTCAAACTACAAATGTTATTAAGCACAAATAAACAAGTGTCAAACATAAAGTTTGATCAGAGTTTGTACCTTGTCCACTTTAGTGTCGGGATCAGCTGTAGACCAACTTGGCAGAGATGGCTGCCAAGGACTATTGTACTGCGGTCTTGCTAACACTAGACGGCACATAAATGCGTCCATGTTTGAGAACAACTGGTCTAAATTAATCAGAATGAAATATAAGGTCCAAAAATGTAATGTCCTCATATCAGAACACTGATGGGTAGTTTTCCTTACCCAGAGGAAGTCTCTGTATCCATAGTAATAGAGCCAGTCATGAACCACTACATTCCAGGTTCGGTAATAGTTGGCGAAAGATGTCGAGTTCCACCAGTCCTGAAAATTAACACAGAGTAGTAATACGAGTGTAGATCAAAATAAAAACAGAATACAGAAGGATCAGTTCAGCGTTGGCATCTTAACAACATTAGAACCACTGCTGTCAAATAATTCATACTGGTTTTTATAAGGTATACTGGTGAGAGCTAAATATGACGTTTTTAGTATTTGTAGCTTTGATGGCACACTGTGCTTCCAACTGCTGCAGAGGTAAACAGTTTGGACACCGAGGCAGGCATCAGCTGAAATATTTGTGTTTTCAAAGAAACACATATACAGCAGATGAGAGGGAGTCTTTTGAAGATCTCATCTGCTGTATATGTGTTGTCTGTATCAGTGTGAAGGCTCAGTGACTGTCCCAGTCTAACCTCTTTTAAATAGATGAGCAGAACCTGAAACTATCTAGACATTTCCTGCAGGAGCTGTATGTGAGTCCGTTTAATGTCTTAATCAAACATTGATTGGATTTTACTCTGCCAGCTCCCAAGTATACTAAGTCAGTGTGATGTCCAATAGTTGGTAATTGCTCAGAGAAGTCACAGTGAGTGAGTGAGTGAGTGAGTGAGTGAGTGGGCATGTTGATGATATTTCTATGGCTTGTGCAAAACCAGAGGAAAACAATTCAGGAACTTCCGTCAGTAAGAGCTGAAGCCGAAACTGTCACGCAAATTTAAATTTATTGGCAATAAACTGGTGTTTTCACCAAATTACAAACTGGCTATGGGACCATGTTGTAATCTGCGTCATGTCCTGCTTCCTGCACGCTCTACCCAGGCGCAACCCCTCACTCCTAACGGTGTATTTCCAGTAGGTGAGAATGCCTCTGACACAGACAATCTCCTGTTGTGTGCTGCATGCGTAAATGAGAAAAATGACTTAAGACACCATTCTCATGTCTGGGTATTAATTATGGAGCTGCAGCTAGGATGTGCTAGGAGCCTAGCATAATAAGACTGTTATCAGTGAGCCTAGCTTTCTCCAAACTTCAAAACCTATCAACACCTTTAAAGCTCAGTAATTAACATATTTGTTTAATGTGCTCAAAAATCAATCATAGTGTTAGTTCAGGCGGAACATGACGTCAAACTCAGCTGATCTCAAACAGCCCAGTCAACTGATGGAGCAGCTGATTGATGGAGGGGAGTCAGCTGATAGATCACATGATTCCTTTCTATGCAACCAATCAGCAAATCTCATTCAGGGTGCCCTATTTAAACTGCTCTGGCCTGCCTACTGTTGCTGCTTCCTCTGCAAGCCGCTTTGCAACCCACCTCCACCCCAGCTCCTCCTTTTCATGCTGTGTCTGACTTATGTAATTTCTGTTATCATTGATGCTGCTCTGTTCTGTTCCCGGAGGGTCTTTGCTGCTACTCTCCCTGCCTTAGGCTTTCCATGTAGACCCTAGGAAAGAACAGAGGCCCCAGAACAGAGCCATACCACCAAATATAATACTGCAAATGGAAATAAAGTTTTCTTTAACTAAAGTGTTGACTGAAGTGCAATTTATACTTTCTGACTTATAGTACATGCTGTAATTTTCTTCTTCTTTTGCTATTTCTTGATGAACAACAGTTTATCGCTCCACCCAGCACTTCTGTGCAGCGTCTTTGCTTTCCTAAAACCACTAATTAATGTTTTTACATTCTGGCTTTTGTACAGATACAATAAGTTATTTGTGCTTCTTTAGCGGTGCTAGTAGGTGGATATTTGATCTTCGGAAAGATTTAGGCAAGCTGTTTTTAAACTAGTATATGCTAACTGCCTCCTGCCCCACAGACATTAAAGTGATCTCTATGCAGCCACAGGGTCCAGATTTCTCCTCATTCATTAGGTCGAGGTCCACACAGTTTGACACACTGAGCGTAGTACTTGCATTTGCCCATGTCTTTGAGCTAGTTTGCCGTCTCTGTTAAGAAGTTGTGCGTTTGTCACTCACTCTACAGCAGGAAACAGCGCTTCAAAATAAAATCTCTGTGTCGGAAACTCACTGACCTTAAAAATAGAGTGTGTTTTTTTTGTTTTTTTTTTTACAAACGACATGTTTGTGAGTCAATTGCACTCCATTCAGAATGGACTGTGACCCACCAGTTGGGAAGCACTGCTTTAAAGCACTTATTAAACAACAGGTGAACACAGTGATCTTTCTCTCCTGAGCTTAATTGTAATTTAATGGCTGATTAAACATTTGTAACAAGGGTTGAAAACCAGCCACTGGATGCTGATTGAGAGCGTATAGATGTTCACAGGTTCCCCAGCTCAATATCCTCTTAATATGACTCGTTAAGTAGATCGTTCTTATGTTCTGACCTGGGGAAAAACATTGGCTGAGATCCATGTTAAATGTATGCTTCCCTGGGTCAGAAACGATTTGGCCACCTACTGCCGACTAATGTTACTCCCTGAAAGTTACAACCACAAAGTTGTGGGCAAGACAGTTTTCTTGACGTCAGACAGAGATATTTCCTCCACCTCACTGTTATTGTACATAAATATATCTGCCCGTTTATGTTTAATCACAACTTTGGACATGCAGGAACACATGAGTCAAAACAGTGAGTCACATGAGCCAAAAAACCAAGTCACAGCTTGTACCAGAGCAAACTGTATCAACAGAATATAATGATGAAGAAGTTAAAGTGTTTTGGGACCATCAGGCCACCCTGCTGTAATTCCATATGTTATTAATCAAAATTTCCCCATCTGGAAAAGCGAGCATATTTGAATAAAACGTGTTCACAGGAGAGATGATGCCACAGAAAATCAGCCATGCCACACACCTTGTAAAACATTCTGTCAGCAAAACGCAGCAGCTCCCCGAAGAGGTTGAGCCAGCAGTGCAGGAAGGCAAAGAAACACAACAGAAGGAGCATTATACCTGAGACAGACAGACAGAGGGAGAGAGTTTATGAGGAGTGCTTTTATTCTGGGCATCGCTCCCAGCTTTCTCATAAGAATTGTAACTTGACACTGATGCTCTTATATCAGCACTTACTCAAAAGGCTATTCACTTAAAGAGAGTAATAAACATTGTCAGGCTCTGATACCTGTATCTGATTGCATAATAGCATCTTTAATCTTATCACTGACTCCAAAACACTAGAGACTTAGTTCCTCCATTTCCATATTAAGTGATACATTAACCAGCGCTGACTCATACAGGTAAGAGATAATAGAGGCTGTAAGCAGAAGTGAGGTTACAAATGAAGATGAACTTTAATACATAGGCCTCTGTTTGTTTTCTAGTGACTTCCTACTAATATCTGTCGGGGCAAGCTCCATGCACGTAGAGAGTAGAGAGTCCAGTACCTGGTAATATTGAGTTGAACACAGCAAGAACCATCGTTCGTTTACTGAACGGCTGGTTGGTCTCAGGTCTGAAGACAGGCACGCAGAGCCGCACCAGGATGAAATAGCCATAAAACAGGCATCCTAAGATCTGCAAATTGACCGTTAAAATATAAAAACATTACAATAGGACAAGGAAATTGAATACAGAGCACACTTGAGAATCAGCACTGGAAAACTGGCGATAGCTGTGTCATCTAAGATATCAGAGATTAAAGCTTTTGAGCAGCTGTAGTTTATGACTGCCCCACATTATCACACAACTCACAAGTGCCATGAGCAACTTCTAGGTCAGATCATTTCTAGGTCATTGACCCCAACATAAACCGTCATGGTATTCTGTTACATAATCCGAAAATGAACTCTCAACCGTTTTATCTTACCATTCCAAGTGTGATGCCAACGTACTTCCATCTAATGTGGGTATTCCTGTAAAGAACAGACAGAATATGTCACAAGTACTATGACACTATGCATTTACACAAACAGTGTAAATACTGTATTGTGTGGCCTGCTTTGCTTTTCTTACAGTGTGTTATATGATGTGAAATTTGCTCAGATTTTCCACTCAGCATTAGTTTTTAGGCACAAATTGGCATTTTTTTTTTACAGCAAACATTTGGGCTTTTCACTGTAGGAAAAGCTCAGGATTTACTTATAACATTAACGGCTCTATGGCTTTGTTTTATTCAAGTGTCTCAATAAACCAGGGATACTCAACTCACTTTGGGTGGGGGACAGTTAATAAGCAAACATAAAAGGTGCAGTATGTGATTCAAGAGAAAGATGACGCTCATCAAATGATGCTTTGAGTTGGTAGTTGGATCAAAGCACCAACCCAAAGCGTAGGTATGTGATGACCTGGGAATGAGACTCAACAATCAGCTATTTTTCTCCAGAGTTACACACAGTACGTTTAATAATAATTATCAGTAAATTTAATAAATGTGATGCCCCTTTTCAACCTTTTGACGTTTGCTGTCCTCACTCATCTTTACCAAGAGGCAAATCCAATCTCAGCAGCCCCGCACAGGTCAGTTGTGCACAGGGGTGTTACTAGGATTTAAGGAAGGGGTGTCAAACTCATTTTAGTTAATGGGCCACATACAGCCCAATATGATCTCAAGTGGGCTGGACCAGTAAAACCACTGCATAATAACTTATAAATATCAACCCCTTTAAATTTGTCCCTGCTTTTAGTGTAAAGAAGTACACTGTAACAGCCCGCAATATCATTAGAAAAATTCAGTCAGTCTACTGCTAACTTTCATTACACGTGACTTTTTTTTCATAATTTGGAAGCTTTTGAAGAGGCAGGTTAAGTAACCCCCTACTTTACAATCTTAAGTTTCATCGAGGCTCAACAGCAGGGTTCCAATGGTATTGTTTTAAGACAGAAGTCTGATACAGATTTTTTTATACTGAAGCTGCTGGTTGACAATATTTTGCTCAATGTTCAGTATCTTAAAGTCTCAGAGAGCTGTATTCTGGTCAGAGTGGAAAAGCCTCTAAGGCAGCATTTTAACATGAAGTATCTGCTCACTGTTAAAATTTCTCCTGAAACCTCTCAGCCTTCTCATGTGCATCAACATAGGTGTGCAAAGTCATCTAGAGGGCCGCACTGGACCCTTTTTAAGAACACTCTGGGTTTCGCCCCAGCCTCTGTTAAGGTATCCTCCCCAGGCACTTTTTAAATGCTTGTTTATGTACTCTAGCACCTCATTTATGGTCAAATAAAACATGAAGAAAGGCCTGCATACTATAGCTCCCTGAAGTGTCATTTATTAGCACATCCACAAGTGATGTTTCAAGCTAATGCTCTTTTTCAGACTGGCATCTTCTAAATACACATGCTCTGGTCACATGAAAGTCACAAGATGATCCCAGTAAAACACAACAGCAATCTTTTCTTGGTCCAGCACCTACCCTACATGGTTTTTAGGTGTGCGTGGCATGCTTTTTGTTATCCCATTTGCATTCAAAATATTAAAAAATAAATAAAAAATTCATTGTGAATGAGAGCAGCACTCTGTCGCAGGCCAGGCTTGGCCATAAGTTGAGTTACTGTTCACTGCAGTAAAGTGTAACATATCAATGTGACAGTGAGTCTGCAGGATACTAAGACCTTGAAATAAAAACAGCTGAAAGGAATTCAGCCATTATTACGTTTAATGTATCTGCGCTTTTGAGACTGCGACATGCCAAAATGTATTACTTGAAAAAGGCCTATTAGACAATGCAAAATGCTACTACTTTGACTTTGCTTTAAATTTTAGCATTTTCTTAGTTTGTGGCACGAAGTCAATAATAAATGCACTTTCTAGTCTTAGCCACCACTCAAGGTGCTTTACAACACGTCAGCATTCACCCATTCACACGCATTCATGCACTGCTGGCACAACAACCATGCAAGGTACTACCTGTTCCTCAAGAGCGATAACCATCCACATGCACAGTCACACACTGATACAAGCCATTTAATGTTCAGTATCTTGCCAAACAACACTTCAACATGTAGACTGCAGGGGCCAGAGGTCAAACTGCTGTATTTCCTGAGCCACAGGCACCAGTAATAAAATAAATATGATGCTCACTCTGGTACATATCAGCTGCACTCACATTATTATACAGTACTATCACTAAGTAAAGTAAAAGAATGAAGAATAAGCAAAAGGGATCCCTGTCAAAGCCACAATCTTACCGAGGATATGATTCCCTGTAGATGAGTGTTGGACAGAAGAGGAAGTACAGATAGCTGGAAAATGTTGGTAATCTGGGACTTTCTCCTGGAAAACAAACACAGTTCAATAAGTATGACCATCAAAGAGAAGAGGTCCAGTTTGAATCCTAAAACCTGGCAGTAAAATATCTTTTAGCAGTCCGAGTTGTCTTGAGTGATTTTAAAGAAGGTTTTCTGTTGAAAAATAACTGATTTCAGGTCTGTGGTTCAGACATGTGGTTCTCATTTCATTTTCTTGTGTGGAATAATACGAGCCATTAGCAGCTCCATTTGTGAACACTCAGGGTTTACTGAGCCTTAATGTAGGGGCCTGCTAACAAACGGCTGTTTAATATAAAGCAGCAGTGATTTTATCACAAAATCGTTAAGCCATTATGTCAAATTGTCTGTTTTAAAGACTCTAATCTCTTTTGCTGAACTATTAGCTGTGCTCCAGTCAAGCTCCAAGTTTTTACTAATGACATGTACAAATGGTGAAACTAAGGAAGCCCTGAGAGGCAAGAGAGTCTGGTCCAAAGTTTTGCCGGGTTCTTTTAAATTACCTTTTTTTATCTGTGAAAACTGGTAGGAAAAAGTTTTGACAGGTGTTGATTTTGTCGGCATTATTTTGAAAATTTGTAATACTGATTTTGGCAACAGGAGGCTGAAGTGCAGCACTGCCCCATGTTCTAAATAGGAATAAAAGCATTCATATTTTCTTCCATGCACTCTAAACACAAGGTGTATATAGCAAGTTATGTAACATTACCTTGTGTTCAGAGCGCAGAAGAACTTAAAACTCACCTGGAAGAAAACATGAATGCCCCATTAGTCCTATTTAGACCATGGGGTAGTGCTGCACTTACAAACACTTGGAAAAAAGTAATTATTTTTAATTACTTAGGGGTCCAGGGTGTAAGATTAAGGGGGATTTAGGGGGATTAAGTGGCATCTAGCGGTAAGGACTGCAGATTGGATGGGCTGCTAATTATAGTGGCCAACACGAAAACGCAAATACCCTATCTAAAGGCAGTGTTTGGTTTGTCCATTCTGAGCTACTGTAGAAACATGGCAGCGCAACAAGGTGATAGATATAAACGGCTTACTCCAAGGTAGAAAATACACAGTTCTTATTTCCAGGTTATTATACACTGGAGAAAACAAACTCGTCAATATATCCTCCTAAATCCTACACACTGGACCTTTAAAAAGAACATTGACCTGCCAAACTTTTCTCCCACCTGTTTTCACAGATATAGAAAAGATAATTTAGAAGGATGTTCCTGCCAAAACCTATATTTTACCTGTTCCACAGATTTAGGAAAAAAGAAATGTGTAGGGATTATCCTGGCAAAAACCTTTTTGTCACCTGTTCTCAAACCATAAACACAGAGGTGAAAACAATTTCGATTGGTCTTGGAAAATGGATCACAAGGCAGTTTTACCATTTCACAGAATTTATAAAAAATTTTTTAAAAAAAGGAACTTATTTTCAACTCATTTCAAACCCACAATCAAACCACGGACACTTCTACAGTATGAAGCTTTTATCTGTCAGATTTTACCCTTTTATTCGTGACTGTTCAGCGTTCTCCTGGAGGCTTTTTACTGCAGCAAGTATTCACATTTACTACTTTGACTTTTACAGTCAAAAGGTACTAGAGACACATTCTTCCTCCTCTAACAGACTTTTACAATAGGATCCCACGGGGCTGCACATACTTGAAGTTATTTATTGTATGTGGGTGTATTCACTGTTAGTTTTAACTTCAGCATGAATCATTAGACGGTAACCTGCTGAGGTCTGTTTTAGTCATTTCTCTCCGGTGTCTGAGAGTGTCACCGTGACTAATGATACTGCCTGAGGAGAAAATACACCTGACATCAATACAATGCAGCGCAGTACCTTCCTTTGGTGGATTCTTCATGATAACAGGAGCGGTTTCTCTTATGAACGAGTAGCTCTTCATCAGGAATCGAATCTGAGGGAAAATTGATACGGTTATTATTTGGAGTGGGACACAGTGTATCAGTATGAGCAGCTTAATTGGCTGCCTTTATTGCATGGATTGACAAGGTGCCTGAAGTGGACAACCTACGTCTTTGTGACCTCAATCTCATGTTTCTGTGTGTGTAAATATTGACTCAGTGAGGTATTATATTAGCTCACTTCTGTAATTAATAGGAATGAAGAACAACAAAAGGGAAGTGTATCTCACGACAGGGGCACAGTTGGAGAACTGGTTGATCATTTTAGCCTGCCATAAACTGCAGTTCAGACATTATGCGTCATCAATCTGCATACAGCAGGGAACCACTTAGTCTTTTTGGGCATCCGATGCATTCAATGACGCATCAAAAATCAATATAAAGCGTTTATATATGGGATGGACAGCATCAGAATTACAAATATGCTGATTGGATCCATGTCAGGTGAGGATCAGGACCGGATTTCCCAAAAGCATCTAAGCACCGGGATTATCTCACTCCAATGGCGCTAAAATGATCGCAGTACTAAGACGGTTTTGGGAGAGCAGGGGTAGACCAGATAAAGAGGATGAGGAGGCATTACAGTACGGGCCCATGATGTTCAAACCATGGCAGCACTGAGATCTACCGTCTCTTTTGGTGCCTTTCCAGCTGGAAGTCTCCCATACCTGGCCAGCAGAATTTTCTTATCAAAATGTTCCTGCTGATGGCAGTGAAGGGCCGCATTTATAATTTGGATTACCAAAGAATATAACGTTATCTACAGTCCACAGTGTGTCTGGAACAGGTCATTCCTTATTATCATTTTTTATGCTGGTTTATATTCTATTAGTTTTTTGCTGAGCAGCAGTTCATACTGCCATAAAAACACTAAAGGCATCATGTACCTCAGGTGGTGCAGTGGTTAGCACTGTTGCCTCAGGGCAAGAGGTTCCTTGTTTGAACCTGGTGGGGTTTTGAACCCCAGGGTGGGGGAGCCATTCTGTGGACTTTGCATGTTCTTCCCATGTCAGCACGGGTTTTCCCAGGGTACTCCAGCTTCCTCCCACAGTTCAAAGGTTAATCGGTGACTCTAAATGTGTGACTCCATGTGTGGAAAACCCAGTGGACCTCCACTAACTCCATGTTTTGGTGAGATGTCCACTTTCAAAAAGCTGAACCAGCAACTCAAATTAAGTGGGTCTCAGCCCACCTGCTGCAGGGAGTGTGGATCAGTTTCAGTGGACCATGCAACAGCTTCTGGTTCTGTCCATATGTTAAGCCTTTTTGGAGAGCTGGCCATTTGGCCTGAAATCTAATTGTACCTTGGATATATTCCTAAAGGCCTCAGTAATAATGACACATGCCATTTGAAGACTTTTATGGCCAGAGGTAAAAAAACGATTACGAAATGTTGGCTCGAGAGGAACCCTCCCTCCATTAACCTTCTTATCAACATAATCAGCTCTATCCACTCAATGGAGTAAATGACTTTCACTCTTTGACTTCAGAAGGAGACGGGGGATGAATGCGGGGTAAAATGGGATTATTATAATCATCTGGACTTGTAACAATAATTTTTCTGAACTCCTTATAGGCATTATGAACTGCACCTGTGCCTCCTTTTCTCTCTCCCTCCCTTTTCACTGATTAAAACCGTACTGTCCCACTCCTGTCCTGTTCTACATTAACACAAAAAATAAAAAATCTAAGTATTAAAAGAAAAAGACCAACACAAGTCAAGTCCCAAGTCCTAAACTTTGAGTGTTGAGTCTTAAACAAGTGCCACTTCACCAATTGTAATGCCATTTTAACAACAGAGAAATAATAGATGTAAATATAAATAATGAATGCTTTCTTAATTTTGTTTTTATTTGTCAAGACACGTTTGTTGGAAGTTTTTAAGTCTCTGTCTGTAATTTTAGACCCGTACATTTTGTGTACTGCATGACGTTTTGGTTGACCACTGTGCTGTTTTTGAGAATAAATTATCTTTGGTATTATTTTTCTCAGTAACATAATGTTAGTTATTCATGCTGATCTCCTGCAACGTGATTACATGTTGTTGCATTGGTTCAAACAAAGTGGATGTGGGGATTTAAGTGCTGGGGTCTAGCGTTAATGTAGCCGATTCAGGAAAAGAAGCAACTTTTAATCTTTAGGCCAGTGGTAAAGTATCAAATATTCTCAGTCAAGTCAAGTTGCTGTTTTTTTTTTCTTATTTTGTCAAGTCAAGACTAAAGTAATCAAATTTGTGACTTGAGTTCAGACCGCTGCTCGGTGGTTTTTACAGTCTGTCGGCTCTCACTTTTACTCTCTTGATCCCTCACATTGAACTCTGCTTGCTGGCACAGCCCCCTTCAACACCCAACCCTCCTCCTCATGTGATTAAAGTTTGTCGTCTTACCAGGTTCTAATCATCGAGCGTGTTCACAGCTATCTCTGATTCTGTACCATTACTGTATGTGTTACAGGGGATTAGTTCTCCCAGCAGAATCCTCGACACCGCTCGGATTCTTTGAGAGGCTCCTAGACGAGCGGAGTCTTTCCCTCCAAATATATATATATAATAAATAGTCAATTCCCTGACATGTCTCTGACTGAAATTACAAATTAGTGTGGATATTTGTTGCAGTGAGAGGAGTACACCATGTGAATGTAGAAGCAATATAAAGTTGGGCAGCCTGAGCTTGCTAACAGGCTTTGCTACAGACTATAAATAATGCCCCAACAAATGCTATTTGTCTGATTGTAAGAGAGGCAGAGTTTGAGACGCAGGAGGAACCAAAGTTTTATAGTTTTTCTTCTGTTTACTTTGTAGTCAGCCTAATTGTTCCCTTGAGTCGGTCCTCCAAAAACACTTTGTCTTATCAAAGTGTTGTTCCCGAAACATTCAGGCAACAACACTCATAAATAGCAGGAGTGAACTAGCTTACACTTTTATTTGTTAAGTTTAGTGTTCTGTTTGTTTTCCTTTTATTTAGGGCCTTTGTGCTTTTAATGTTGTCTCAGTGCAATTTTATGCCTCATTATATTCATGCCTCTTGTCCATGTCTACTATTACATTCTAGTCGACTGACGGATGTGATGTCTTACACACAGGTGACTACAGCAGGTCATCAGCTCACCTGTACCTACTATAGTTCTTGTGCAAAGTGTGGATTAGACATCAGTTAATACAGGATAACTGCATTTTCTCGTTACGAATCAGCCAGTGTACATCTCAATACATTACATCTGTGACCAGTAAAAATCGGATCATATAGTCCATGCTGATGTTTCAGTAACGCTCTAATGTGAATGACATTTTCATTCAGTGAGACTTCAGGCTGTAACTTTTGCACCCTGTTCATAATAAATGTGACAGCATTTACTCCTCAAACACACACTCACCTGCTCCAGTATCACAATGAACCGCGAGGCCGGAGGCAGCTGGTAGTGCACAGCCACGTGGATGGGGAACAGTCCCAGTACGCAGGTCTGCACTGCAGATAGGACCAGGCCTGTGCCGAGAGACAGCCCCAACTTAGAGGGTGAGCTGTGGTACAAACATCCCCAAAACACCAGCGTGTAGTACGGAGCGAGCAGGGTGTAGACAAACATCACAAACCAGGCCCAGGTGACTGTTCCCACCTTCCCAAAGGCCCAGAACAGAATGTCGAACTCCAAGACCAACCTGAGATTATATAATGAAAGAATTGTTAAATGTTTCCAACAATGTTCAAACCAGAGGAATTTGCAGTTTCATTCAAAGCAGAGGTGCGTTTCATTTGGTCAGTTGTAAATGGTAGTTGCTCAAACTTTTAGGAAAACAACAAGTGGCAATCTGCAGAGCTAAAAATTGAAGCCTAGGGAGTCCAAAAACCTGCAGTTTCTCTAATGGCCAATTGATGCTGGCTCCAGAAGTGACTCAATCCCAATAGATTCCTATATTAAAATGCCCAGCATTACAGCAGAGATGAACATGAATACAGTCCTGCACAAAACAAAGGTTTTGGTCTCTCTAGCTATTTTCATGACAACTGTACAGGGTTGATTTTTATATAACTCACCAATTTAAATTTCATTAAGGATTCAAGTTATGCATAATTAAGGGTACTGATTGACAGGTGGGTGCCATCCTTTGAACATGTCGTCACCGCGATGTTGGGTAACGCAGCATAGATTAACTCCAGATTCAGAGTCTAAGTTTACTGAAATGTTTTTGTCATCTATAAAATGTTCTTGTTCAGTGTTTGGTTTTACTAAAAGACCTTGGAAGAAGTTGGATGATCAGTTTTTCTGATAAGTACATTTTGTTTAATGGTTTTAAGCCTGTTTTTCTGGCAAAAAAATTGCATTATCACAGTCAATCATAGCTGTAAATACACTGTGCTAACCAAGCTCTCAGCTAGCGTTAGGGTTAGCTTCACTCTCTCATCCAAGAGGTCACATGGTCGCATCTGGCTCCAAAAATCCAAGATGGTGATGGCCAAAATGCCAGACTCGCGGCTACAAAACAGGAGTCCACAATCCAAGGGGTAAAATCACGCTGGTTCCATCCATTATTTTACACAGTCAATGGGAAACACCAGATGATATGTCAGAGAGTGAGGAAGAAACTAAGCGAGCTACTCCTCTGCAACAAAGTAATTCTGATTTATTGATATTATATTTCTAAATAAATCCATTTCATGTGCTACTTTGACAAGTGGCTCATGCAACATTCGACATACTCATAAAGTTATTTATAGTATAATTGTTTTGATCTAGGCTATCCCATAATGGAATGTGCCACATAAGGTGTATGGGTGGTATATACAGTACAGGCCAAAAGTTTGGACACACCTTCTCATTCAATGCGTTTTCTTTATTTTCATGACTATTTACATTGTAGATTTTCACTGAAGGCATCAAAACTATCAATGAACACATGTGGAGTTATGTACTTAACAAAAAAAGGTGAAATAACTGAAAACATGTTTTATATTCTAGTTTCTTCAAAATAGCCACCCTTTGCTCTGATTACTGCTTTGCACACTCTTGGCATTCTCTCCATGAGCTTCAAGAGGTAGTCACCTGAAATGGTTTTCCAACAGTCTTGAAGGAGTTCCCAGAGGTGTTTAGCACTTGTTGGCCCCTTTGCCTTCACTCTGCGGTCCAGCTCACCCCAAACCATCTCGATTGGGTTCAGGTCCGGTGACTGTGGAGGCCAGGTCATCTGCCGCAGCACTCCATCACTCTCCTTCTTGGTCAAATAGCCCTTACACAGCCTGGAGGTGTGTTTGGGGTCA